GCTGCATCAGCAGCTGCTCCTCGCCACCCAATGCACATGTTGCTCTTTATCACCACTTTGGATAAAAGCTTTAGTTAATCAAAAATTCATATAGGATAGCATCCTTGTGCACAGCAACACCAGCATCTGCAATTCAATAGAGAAAGCTTTAATAACTTTAAAATATGACACTGAAGCTAACAGGAATCGCTTCAGTTGCATTTTGGTTTTTGGTGCAGTTTGCTGGAATGTGGTGCAGCTCTGTGTGCTGTCTTTGCTAACCTGGATGGTGTCCTGACAGGGGAAGCTACGATGCCAGGAGCATATCACCCAGGGGTTTGAGAACATGCCAGCAGCCTTCATGGGGATGCTGCAAGGTGACAACATTGGGAAGGCCGTTGTTCAGGTGTAAAAGTGATACAAAATGCCTATGTACACTCTGGGATTTTCTATTCATTCATATATTCAGGGCAAACGACACTGTATAGCAGTGTTTGCCGGCCCAGTCCTCAGGGACTCTGACAGTCCAAATTTTTGCTCCCTACCAGCTCCCTGGGGTTGCGGAACACTGCTTTACAGCTCTATGGGCAGCGGTGGCTTGATGGTTAAGGACGTGCACTTGTGATTGAAAGATTGCAGGTTCAAATCCCCGACCAGCAAGGCACCACTGAGGTACCCTGAGCAAGGTACCGCCCCCAAGCACTGCTCCCCGGGCGCTGAATTAGCTGCCCCCTGCTATGTCACATTGTCACATATGGGTTAAATTCAGAGAAAATATTTCGTTGTTGTGCACTGTGTGCTGTGGTGTGTCAGCAATGACAATTAATCACTAAATTGTAATTCTAATTAAGCATATGTTCTGTCCCGAGTGTGAGAAGGATTTTTGTATCTGAAATCTAGAATATTTCAGCTGAATAAAATCCTCTGTTGGGGTTGTCTTCGTACTGGCAGTAGCTTTGGTTGTGTGGTTCTTGTTTAAATGTAGCCCAGATTTTTTGAGCAATTTAAACGAACTGGTGACTACCTGAAAAACCAAAAACCATAACAAATTATGACTGACAGCTAATTCACACATGACTCTGGAAGAGGGAGAAAATGGGACAAAGGCCAGTTGCATTTTAAGGGAAAACGGGGAAAAAGTTTTGTAGGTTTTAAGGTAATTTTAATACATTAATGATGGTTGAACGAGTTATCCAACTACTTTCGGTACACAACAGAAACGTTTTAAGAGCTTTCTCAACTAACAGCATCCCTCCCGCTGGTGATCCCCCCCCGACTGTCTTTGTTGCCCGTTCCATTGAAATTGGCACTGCTGGATGCTTTTTTTTTTTATTATTTTGTGCTTTCAAATTTAATTGCCACATGTTGCCACTATGAATCTTTTATGCAATGTAATATAACACAATTTAAGAATAAGTGAACAACAAATAAGTAATAAACAGAATACAGTGCATGTAAGAATGTGCAAATATTAAGTGCAGAGGTAGGATATTAAGTGTGAGCAATACTACGCTGTTGGTGGACAGGTGCCAATCACCAGCTGTTTAGTGACCTGATGATGTGGGCGAGAAAACTGTCACTGGAACTGGTGGTGCAGATACTGATGCACCAACATTCCAGAGGGCGGCAGGAGCTGGGTGGATGGCGTTCCTGAAGATTGACTCAGCCGTCTTCTGGCAGCAACAGAGATCGATCTTATTGTGAGGAAGATGCCAGTGATTATCAGCAGGGTGAACAGGCTTGCCTAGATTGCAGCCTTGAGGCCCAGAGTGATCAGGGAGCCCCTATTGGCCATATATTTTTTTCCCCAATTATTATTTTTTTAATGATCCTTTACATGCCATTTATTGGTTGGTGAATTAAACCTGAATGGGGTGACCAGTTCTAAATGCATCTCCTTTTTGGCAGTCTCTTTATACCATTTGGTATGCACATGCATAGTCTGGTTCCTATGCAAATTGCATTTTCTGAGCCTGATCAATGACTTTTATGCCAGGAAAACACAAAGGAAAACATTCAAATAGGAGGAACCTGTTTTATATTCTTTTGGAATTTGCCCCTCTCTAAAGTTGTATGTAGTCTATGCTATCAATGATAAATGTCTCGTTAGTGCACATTGTGGATACAGTTGACACACACTGGATCAGAGTAATGTTTTTAGGTTACCACTGAGATGTGTTTATTCAATGAGACCTCTTTCTGGTTGTGGCTTATGACTGATATGAAAGTATAAGTGTCGCAGTTTGTTGTTGTTCTGATGTGATTGCTCTTATTTGAAAGTGTCACACACTCTTTGACTTTGTAGAAAATTTTTATAGTTTCTAATATTTAATAGTTTTATAGTTAAATGTTGTATCGTTTTGGAGAGTGGGGGCAGAAGAGGGGCCTACGGAAAGTGTAGTCTAGGGGCTCTGGAACTTGTTAATCTGCCCCTGACCATCAGAGCTGTTCATACAGTCCTTTGCAGCAGCTTGATGTCCTAAGCAGGCAGGTAGGTTACCCAACACCATGATTCATCCAGGCAGGATGCTCACAGTGGTACAGCAGAAGTTCCATTGGTGTTATCTGGTTAGCTTTTCTGAGGTTCTAATGGTGTTTCGTTCCTATCTTTGGCATAGCAGCAATCCAATGATAAACGCTTCTTTTAAACAGGAGTGGACGAAGTACACAGTTCCATTACTTGAATTAAAATATAGATACTCCTGGTCAAATATTACTCCAATAAAAGTGAAAGTTTTTCAGTCAATTTTAAAGTACTGGAGTATTTGATTTTAAAAACACTGGACATTAAAAAGAAAACATACTTTTTAATACTTAACATATTGCTGTATTGTTGCCACAATGCATTTACAATGCCTAATGATGGAAACACCCTACTGAGTGCATTGACTTGCTTGTAGAACCTGTAGAATAAAAAGCTTGTCCAATGTGATACAATGACAGTAGAAACACAATTGAATTGACATAAGGAAAACTATTGTTGTTTTAATGTGTTTCTTTTTTTAAATTTATCACCCTTCCTACCCCATTCCCACAAAACTTTACTGTGACTGGTGTTTCTCCTGTGACCAGCACAATATGGCCTATCGCATTTTAGAAAAAGAAAATTTGTATACTAACTTAACAGTGGTGGTTTAATGGTTAGGGACGCACACTTGTAATTGAAAGATTGTAGGTTCGAATCCCTGACCAGCAAGGCACCACTGATGTACCCTGCATGAGCGAGGTACCACCCCGAAGCTCTGCTCCCCGGGCGCTAAATTAGCTGCCCCCTGCTATGTCACATATGGGTTAAATGCAGAGAACACATTTCGTTGTTGTGCACTGTGTGTCAACTAATTACTAAGTTTAATTAAAATATTGCTGCTTTCAATTCCTAATCGGAAGATCCGACCAGAGAGTTCGGAAATTGTAATTAAGTTAGAGCAAAATGGAACTGATATAAGCTGCTTTTTATTTTGCTTTATTTTTCGTTCATCACTAACCATTACTTCCAGTTAACCCTTGCTGAAATATTAGGTAGCTAACCAGGTACATATCAAATACTGAGACAAAAAGCTATCAATATTTTTTGACGGTACGCCACGCTATAACAAACTCCTCAACATTTAGACCAATTCAGAATTTTGTAATGACACGCTTCATAAAATGTACTACTTCCAAAATAATTTGCCTTTCACAGCGGCGCTATCCCTCCGCCATGATTGCTGTAATGACACGCCCCCAACTCGGGAACTCGGGGCTTAAAGAAAATCTTTCTTAGTGGCGTTCATCTCTTATTTACGATTTTTCTTGCACGACTTTAAGGCAGGTATGATTCAAAGTAATGAGTAACAGGAGCTTTTATAAAAATGCGGGGGAGCTAACAGTACAATAGTTGTCTTTCAAATGTAATGGAGTAAAAGGCATGTTTCCAAAAATATATATAATGAACATGGTTACTTTTTAAATCTAAATTTAGTGATCTTTTACAAATAGAATCTCAAGTAAAGCATTCCGAGTGACGGAAATGTGCGCGCCCTTCCCATTGGCTGCCTCGCGACAGGTCGTCATGGCGGCGTTTTGTCAAGTCATGGTGACTCCCGTTACCATACATGCAGTATTTCAATTAGAAAGCATCCCTCACATTTTATGAAGTTATGCATATGGACCTCTATGGAGATGATACATGATATAATCTTATTGTGGTAATCTAACAGAAAGATTTCTAAAGTTGCACGTTTATTTGGCTGCGGCTGAAATGTTTATGTGTGAGCAGCTGCACAATAGTATAATGTCCGTCTGGGTGCCCAGTGGCACATACAGTAAAGTCTTTCAGTAATTGAATAAAGGCCGGCTGGCTGCGGTGCTGCCCTGGTAACCCAAACTCGTGTGTGAGGGGGCAGGGCTTCCCGTTCGTGTATAAAATGAGTCGCCGGGGTGGAGGGGATGTAGTGCAGCTGTTGAAGACACACACGTAAGTGACGAGACGTATTTAAGAAAAGGAAGATGGTCCGTGAGATTAACAATCAGGTAGGTGTCCGCTTTGCGCCTCCTGCACTATCGCGCACATCCTTTAGTGGACTATATACTCTAACTTTACGGCGCACGCTTTGGGTGATGCGGGCCGACGGAGATGCCGCGCGCACCCTTTCCGGAGTGATTGACTTCCACTAGTTATTCGGAGGTACACGTACTTACAACTTCGTTTTATTCTATTATAATTAACGTTTAATTTATCTACACGCTCCGGTGGGGCGGGACCGAAGATAAACATGCGTGAGGATGTTAATGTGTACGGGCCTCGCTCATAGCGCAGAAGGGGAAACCTCCAGCATTACAGGGTGCGGAACATAATAATGTTTACTGATTCACGTGCCTTTGCTGGTGCATTTTAATTTTACGTCTAAGATTTTTTTGATGTGCTATTAGTGTGACACTTTGATATGGATGACGTTTGATCCGGTGCTGGGGATAAGGCATAACCAAGGGTGAAAGGTGTGACTATCGGTCGACATCCCTGCCTATAGGCATTCTTAGCATCACGCTATTCCGCTTTTTCTGTATTCCCATCCGTGTACGCATCGTGCGTAACGTGCTTGCGGCAGGATGGCCCGTACTTTTAGGATTTACCCGGAAACAAGTGATTTTTTTTTTTCTGATTGGCTGGTAGGTGGCTATTAACTCTGTCTAACTATCAGTATTGCCAACTTAGCGACTTTGCCTATATATTTAGCGAGTTTTGAGACCCCTCCAGCGACTCGTTTTTAAAAAAGCGATTAGCGACTTTTTCTGGTGTTATTGGAGACTCTGACGTGAAAGCACGTATCATTCTTACTCTTCTCCCCGAGCTGAGGGTGCGACCGTGGGATACTCTCCCGTCCCAAAGCGCTCACAGGCGAACAGTCCTCGCGCAGCAGCCCCGCCCAGCTGCAGTCAGAACAGGAGATGTGCATCATTTTCTCACATTGCCATTGACGGTTTTTTTCAATTCTCCTTTTTTGGTCCGTTTAGATTGTTAATATAGGTTATATACAAAAAATGTTATGGTTAAACTGTTCAATTGTTTACTGTGACTTGTACACTTAAGCAAACTTAAAAAAAAAAAAACTTCGCCAGAATGACTCTTTGGGGTCACTTTTGCCGGTGATGTATATAAAAAATCGACAGAAGAAAGTTCATTTGTAGTTCTAAACGTATCTATAGAGAAACAGTTTTTGTCTCTCCCACGACATTATTCCTCTCTCCTACAGCGTCCATTACAATTACATGCATATTATGCAAATAAGGCGATGGCGTCTTTAGCGACTTTTGGGACGGCCAATAGCGACTTTCCTTGCTGAGGAGTTGGCAACAGTGCTAACTCGATCGGGACAGTTATGAACTCGGCGGAAAACTCCACTCCGTATGACTGCACATCGTCCATTAATTCTATGTAACGGGACCTCTTGGTGGGCGTTATCCCTTATTTCGCAGCGTGAGAAATCCGAGGTGCGGCGTGTGAATGTGTGTACTGGTTGAAATGCGTGTATCTCAGGGTCAATACGTGAGACTTGAGAGCCCTGGGCATAATCGAAGTGCGCTGAGTCTCTTCTCTTTCCCTTGTGCGGATCTTAGGCTGACTTTGACAAGACGCTCAAGGATGCCGGGCAGAAACTGGTGGTGATAGACTTCACTGCCACATGGTGTGGCCCCTGCAAGGCAATCGCACCCATCTTCCAGGTGTGTATGTGCTGGCCTGTTTGTGATAGGGATGTCTGACAGGAGCTCCCCCGGCTGACAGATCTGATCATTTGGCTTGTGTGAGCTTGCTAATTAATTGAGGCATGCATATGATGTCCACGTTAAAACAAATTGTTCCCTTTCAGAAACTCTCTGATGATTACCAGAATGTGGTCTTTCTGAAGGTCGACGTGGATGAGGCACAGGTATGAAGCAGGACTGCACTGCATACAGGTTCTTCTGCATATTTCTCATGATGGGTGTGGCCCTGGAGCAGTGCTGATATTCATTCTTATTCCACTTATGTTCTGTGATCTGACTTGAGATATGCGCTACAAATGGCAGACATTGACAAGAGATCTGCTGTGGGGGTTAGGATTGTGTATAGTCATTCAGAATACCAAAGTCATATTTGCTGTTGCCAGCAGACCTTATATGATGGTTCTAAACACTCAAGGTTTTAATTTCTACTACAGCTGGATTACCTGGAGATGGGGCCTATACCATGAATCAGCATTTCTTGCTTAGCCGTAAAATTCAATTCAATTTTATTTGTATATTGCATATTCACAACATTACATTGTCTCAAAGCACTTTACATTATCCCTGCCCAAAGCCCCCAGTGAGCAAGCCAGAGGCGACAGTGGCAAGGAAATACTCCCTAGAAGAAAGAAACCTTGGGAGGAACCAGACTGAAAGGGGGAGCCCATCCTGCAGGGGCCGGCAGAGGAAGCCAAATGAACAAAATAGCAAAGTCCCGATTCACACTGTCCATTTTATTTTATAACTTTTGGATTTAAAGTAGTCTGTGCTAAATGTTAGTGAACGAAGATAAAGACCATTTTAATGGGGGTACCTTAAATCCAACAAGCTTTCCAACTCTGCAAGAAGTCCTGTTTCTTGGTACAGGTCCCTGGTGTTGGTACCCAGTTCAGGTAGAAGGTGTGTTTCAGTCTCCTGCACCCACAGGTGTAGCTTCAGTACACTCAGGTTTTCATGTATGACCTCCGCTTTGCAGGTTTATCTACAAAACTTTTGCAAAATCTTGAATAATCAATGAATATAGTGCAATACTTTCCATTTTCTTTCAAAACCTCAGATATGGAAAACTGTTCTGTTTTCACTTTAGCTCATGTTTCTAAGAGCTGCAGACTTCTGTAGGTGTTTACAGCTGGTTTGCCCCTCATGTTCTCCCTTCAGGATGTGGCCAGCTCCTGCGGAGTAAGCTGCATGCCGACATTCCAGTTCTATAAAAACGGAGTGAAGGTGAGCGCAGATGTCGCACTTGTCCCTGTAGCAGTCGGCAGCAAATACTCTTTATCATACGGAGTTATTTTTCTCATTTCCCAATATCTAGTCTGGTTCCCATTAGGTTAATCCAGGCAGTAATTGTTTCTCACCCCTTTGTGTTGAAAAACGGTTTCTTTACTGAAAATGTGACCTTTGACCAGTTATTTTAGTTAAAGTACGATCTCATTGGGTGCTTGGACTTGTCTTGCACACAGTTGGTAAACTTATATTGGTACTTTTAATTGTGTTATTGTAAATACAGGTAATGTTTTTACACCTTTTTCTTATCCTCTTGTAGATAGGTGAATTTTCGGGGGCTGACAAAAATAAGCTGGAGGAGATGGTGAAGAAACATATGTGAAGAGCCTTCGTGATGGTCATGACGCAGCCCTCTTTTCTGCACCAAATTCATTTGCCTTCAGAACTATTTGGTCTAAGATGAGAATAAACTTTTTTTTAACAGAGTGTAGACTCAGTCCCTTCTGTCACACAAAAGTAACGTCAGTCAGTCGCTGTTGTAGATTTTTGGTGCCCCTGTATTAGGGTGGTCCAAAATTAACAACTTCACACAGCTTTCCCTCCACAACCCTAATTTTATTCTTCCCCTTATTACAAATGTGTCTGCCAAATTTTATTATGATTGGTCATTATTTAGAGGTCGCTCAAGCTGGTAGTAATGCAACACTGCAACAGCTATATTGTATTGTGTAATTGTATGCAATAAAACAAGGAAAACATGCAGTAAACAGAATTAGAATTTCCATGAGTGAAAAAGAACAGAACATGTCAAATTAGCTGAT